GCCCACGCTTACACAACGTTAGCCCACGCTAGCCCACGTTAGCCCACGCTAGCCCAAGTTAGCCCACGCTTTGACATCGCAAGCCTACTCACGCTCGCTTGACTTGATTTTAAATTCTTTCGTTATCCATTAGTTGACCTATCAAACTCTAATGACATAAAAGATATCTGACTCGGGGTTCTTATAGTGTTTTTAGCTGATTTTTACCTCAAGATGCAAATTTTTATTTATAAAAACCTTATCCAATTAATATAGTTTTGTATTTAAAATAAAACTTTTTGTTACTCATCTTTATAAAGCGGTATATTTTGTAAAATATAAAATTAAGATATAGGACCCCGAGTTATTTTTTATTAATTTTGATTGAACATTTTAAATTTTCAAGCATTTTTATAACTCTTAAACAACATTTTAAAGCTTCGACATCATTATAAAATGTACCATTATTTATTTAACACTTCTTAATGTAATTTAGTTGATGTTAACTAAATGTTCTTCATGAAATCGCTGATTCACCAAGCTTTGACCGCTTTCAATAATCACTAATTAAAAAAATCATAACATGGTCATAGTCATTAAATAATTTTCTAACTAATTTTATTTTATAAATTAACAGTGATGGGGCACTAATATTACAATGAGCTTTATGTTAAAAACTAAATTTGCTTTTGTTGTTTTTGAAACACTATTTAGTGTTGTTTATTTTGTCTATTTCATAGTATATTTAATGAAGTTTTTACAAGCAAAAGTTGATATTAATAGTTCAATATAGTATAGAAAATGAATAAAAACATAGTAAACTTTTGTATCACTAAAGGTGAATTTTCATTTTAGTAAATTAGTATAGGAACAATATTCTTATCTCATTTATTGTTGTTATACAGGTTTACGACAATGAAAACTCAGTGTAACAAAAAGTTCATTGTATCTACTAACAATTTCCTTTATTACTTAAAGTAAAAGATAATATCTGATGTTATTGGTCTGTTGAAACATTCTACGATTTATTATCACTAAATTATCTTATGTTTATTTCTAATAATAATTTAGAATAAAATTGGCATTTCTATGAACCTTGTTACTTATAGGAATTATTATTATTAATAGTATTCTATAAAAATAAACATTGTCCCTTTACAATTTGTGTTTCTGTGTAATGTTGTTTTTTTAATATAATTTTTAACCGCTTATTAATTTACTTTTAAAGGGTTAAATCAACAAACATCATTAAATTCAATAAATTCTTAGTTTCATTATATTTTAGTTAAGATTTTAGTTTACAGGAAAACTTAGAAATTAACTTTTAAATAATAAATATATCGAAATGTTTAAGTCGATATTTTAATCCGTATTCAGAAATAACAAAAAGTTTTTTCTTGATTTTTTTTACTAATATTTTTATAGGACTAGCTGTATCTCGCGACTTCGCTCGCGTGAAATAAAAAAATAATACAAAATACAGCCTATGGTACACATAGATAAATTACCTCTCTGATTGTGATTTTTTTTAAATCAGCCCAGTAGTTTTTTCGTCAATCAAATACATACAAAAATCAAAAAATACAAATCTTTTCCCTTTATAATATTAGTATAGATTTCTTCAACTTTTGTTAAGATTTGTTTTGTTTCTTGTATTGATGTTTGTTGATTGTTTCTGTTGGTGTATGTGTTAACTAAGAGGGAGTGTTGCATGTCGCATGCTTACCGCTTTTGTCCGGCGACAGCCCGCCAATATGCACGTCATGAGAATCTTGCGCAACGCACCGCCATCTAATATTGTCAGAAATAAATCTGACAAGGTTAGTATTATGTTTGTTATGTCAATTACTTAACCCAATGGGGGTATCTCAAAGTAGACTCTTAGTAATGACTAAGAGTCTACTTTGAGATTTACAATTCTGTGTGTGGTAGTTTATTTTACTAGATAATTGTTAAATGTTTTTTTTAGGAAAATATATAATAGGGAGTATGCAATATATTTTTATAGTATCTCAATATCTTGAAAAATATTTCTTTAGTCTACTTTGGTAATGTTTTTTAATTACAATTTTGTTATTAAAATTTGTAGTTACTTTGATGTAATTTAATTTAATGAATTCTTTGTAATTAGAAATGGAATTGAGTAATAATTTGTAGTATTTAAGTGAAGCTATTTTTTTTGGTAAAAAGTATGTTAGTTACTTTTTAGATTTGCATATTAAATTGAAATGTTTTCACTAATTGTGTTGCATTGCAGTCGACACCGGTGGGATCAATCCAGACGGGGCACGAGATCGTGGTATCTCCCAACCGCGATAGACATCAACCTTTCCACAAGGTTAGTTATTAAAAACATACAGTAACATAAAAATACAAGAAATTTTTCAGATTCAATATGTCAGATTTTTTTTGTAATATAAGTTTGTAAACGAGTAAGCTGTCAAATGAAAGCGAGTGCTGCTACAAACATCCGCAATTGCAGATGCGTTACCTACAACTAATTGACAGGGGAGGAGACGCACATAAAGAGATCATTTCCCCTTCCTTTGCTTCCACCACCGTCAAATCCACTTCCGCTTTCCCATCCTCTTTATATGGAAAGGGTGGTAAAGGGAAAGGGACTAAAATTAAGCCTAATGTTATTTCGCACCAATTTTGTTGAAAATTAATATTATTGTTTTTTTTTTGGTATATCAGTGTTGGTGATTGATTTAGTATTTCTGTGGGTGCAGGATGAATTGTGTGATTATATTGTTGGTTTGGATGAGGATGATGAGGCGGCCCTGATATGCGTCGAGGTTTGAAATGTTTTTTGGTTTTCTTGTCTTCACTGCCAACCCCATTTTTGTAGAGATTTCTTCACCTTTCATGTCATGTGTAAATGTCCATACAGTATGTTTGTCTTTTATGTAATCAATATGTAAATTGATTCCTGATTAAATTAGTAAAACAAGAGATTTCGATGTTAATAATTTTGAATGTCTGTGATTTTTTT